AGGCTGAGCAAGTGATGCCACTTATTGGTTGTCTGCTTTGCTGGAAGTGATTTGTATATTGTATCATGTCTTTTTGGTCGTTCATGTGTCAGATGGAGAGTCAATACAAGAGTGCACGCTTGACCCACCTTTTCATGATGGAATTTATTATGAAAGCAGCATAGATTGCAGTACAAAATCCATGTCGTTGTTCATTATGTCACGCTACAGTACAGCACTGAAGTAGTGCCACAATAACGATGTTGATCCGTGCCATTACACAATGCACCACATTGGTTGACTACTCTACGTCAAGCCTATGATACGGAAACTTATAATTTATTAACAATTGATTTGACGATGCCAAAGGACTATCAACAGCAGGAATGTCATTGCACCACAATTGCTGTATCAGGGTTAACTATTAATTGCACAAATGAACCTAAGCAAGAAAAACATTCTTGGTGGCTAAAACTTACCATCTTTACCACAGCAATAACAATGCTTTGGCAACCAATTCATAGCAACGTCACGAATTTATAAATTTTCGCATGACACCGCATTTCCAGTCACAAACAATAAGGAAAGTAACTACCGTGCACATCACATGGTATCAATTTCAGGACCACAGCACTGCAGGCAAGGGTTGGTCGACAACACAGCATTGACAAAATCATCAGCAGCAGCATAGCAGCAACAGCAGTAGCACGCACATCGCACTTTGATATTAATAATAATCAAAACACAATAGGCTGTACTGCTGCTGTTGCTGCTAATAATAGGGCAGTAATAGAACAGGCTAGCATCCCAATCACATTCTTGATGCATACATCTGTACTACCATATTACCTCACTAAACCTCGATTACGAAATAACTGGACATAGTCCATGGTCCATAGTCTATTGGCCAGATGACACAACATGCGTAATAACGTTCTGAGCTTTCTAATCCCACGTTTAGATCCTGAGGAGGTCTGGTAGTAAGGTGCCGTCTGGGGCAGCCACGACTGCCGGTCGCCTTGGGTGGCGCCGTCTTAGGTATCCTTGCACAAATAAAACACTCACAAACGTCTTAAAGCGGTTCGTGCAGTAAACAGTCATGAAAACGGCTATTGCCACGTTATCTATGACTTAAATTTGTTTCGTTTAGTTACCCTGGCAACCTATCAGATACCACAATCATCATTATGAGCATTAGCGTAACGAAGTCCAGTTTAGGCGTTCAAAGGCCTTTTGTTGAGAGATGAATATTCTCTGGTGGTATACATCTCCCCACCAACAATCCTAGGCTACAGACGCTCTCTACTTACGCTCGCCTTGTCGCCTCACAAAATGTGCTGTTGCAGTAAGTTTCCATGACGTCCCCAGTTTCGGGTGGTGAGGTAATGATCGCCCCATTGCGCATATGAGGCGGTTGCGTGGCCTATTTTCCGGGGCCGCGTTCCCCACTGGCAAACGCCGTGAACGAGTCGCGGCCTATGACGTAAAAGGTGGGTGCGCCACAACAGTTCCAACGGCTTGGAGTATAGTCGGTTGTGTATGACGTAAGTGCTTGCGACATCATAGGTAGCGACCCCGATAGGTACTCTGCCGGTGAGGTACGTGGTCCTGGTATTACACCAGTTACGCACTCGGCGAGCTACGTATTGCTTCCGGGCACCCTCGCCATCAACCATTGATGCCTTCTGCAGCCAACGGTGACATCGTAAGGTTGGTGTCATGTAATGACATGGAGGAGATAGTTATCAGAGCCAATTATTTCCACGCTGGACAGTATACAAGTTTTGCTGCGAGTCTTCTGGAGGAACGGTGCTCCTTAAGCTAAGCCATGCAGTCGTTGGAAAATGGATACTTCGCGACGTTTGCGCTGCGGACAGTGCCGCAGTCAGAAATTCGCAATCGGAAGGGAACAATTCAAACATTACCACTGAGAATCCGCGTTGATGAGCGGCAGGTGCGAAAAGCTTATTCCGTGGCGTAAAACGGCATGAAATGCGCTCGATTTGGTTTTAATTGTCTACCTAGTTGTTTTAGCATCAACATGTATCCACGCACATATTAATGCACGTAATACGTCTCATGGGGGCAGGGGGGGGGGGGGGCAGGGCATAGGCCTCTGGAGGTTACAAGGTGGCTATCCCCTGGCTGTGACATTGCATTATTTACTCATATTAGGTCTTTTAAATGCACAGTTTGCAGTAGTTTTTGATGACAAACTTGGACTACATTACATGTAAAACAAATAGGGATCTTCCTTAAAGGACACCCGGCAAGCGCCAGAACAGCCACAGCTGTATACCATAAACAAAGCACTCAAGACGGCGTACTATATAACACGACGCGCTTATCTGGACAAATATGAGGTCAATATAGCCCAAAATGTTGCGTTGTTCGCAACCGCTGACACTTTCACATCTGCAGGCAGCAGGTTCCATTCGCTAGAATGGAAGGCCCTACAAACTCGGCTTAACTAGGATATTCGCCCAAACTCAGTCCGGACATGCACCACCCGCAACAGTCTGACGGCTGTTGGTCGAGTGCCAAGAGCACTGCAATGCACATTTTGCACATGAGGGCATTTCACACACACAAGTAATATGTGTTCCACATGTTTTTGGAGATTTCATTGCCGGAAAGGCCGCAGTAATGGATAGAAAGTGTATGACTATAAATGGATTACAAAAAATGCATGTCATGTTCTGCGATCTAAAACATCAGATATTTTCAATTCAAATTACTGCTTTTATGCCATCGAGGGGCTTAGACGCAATAGCATCTTGACCAAAATTTATAGCCAGTGATAGGAGGTACACCTTCTAGATTATGGGCTATATCTGCAAGGTTGCAATACTGTGGTTTGGAGACGTTCGTAATATAACCAGAGAAGGCATGCCATGATTGATGTATGACCGTATCGCGGCCTCTGAGGTGTAACAGGAACCCGTCTTCGAGTTTCTGGATGAATTACCTAACCTTTCCTCGAAAGTTGACCAATCTGTTTCAATCTGTATAGTGACCAATGTGAGAAACATCCTGAGGAAATCCTTGTCCAGGGTCAAGTCAGCTTGGTGAGCTATGCTGTCATCACTGAAGTCTCGCACGGTCATTTTTACTTCCGCGTGCAGTCCTTCAATGATTTCTTGTTTTAGAGTGTTTCTTATTTCATCTTCTGACTGGTTGGACTACATGTCAGTCAGCATTACTAACACAGGAACGCTGAGCTTTGTTATGCGTGTTCACACCAAGTCATCTGAGCTGTCGAGTGAAATTGATGTAAAATGTGAGAAATCAAATATTCGCGGCACCAGATGGGATCAGGAAACTGGCATAACCGACCTATTTCCGTGCCTATAACTTCTATGGATCACGCGCACAGAAGGAGCAGGGATATCATGTACGATGAGGCAACCCAACCTAGCACCAGCCTTGACGTCTGGGGGTTGTAAACAACACGGTAAGATTCTACAGAGCAAAACCACAATAGTTCGTTTGGGTCTTGTTACAACGCCGTGCGACTGCGATTACGGATGTCAGACCGTAGTTCAGCCCCTTAGAGGTTTTTGGAGATTTCATGTTGTTTTGTTAGCCCTGTGACTTTAAACTTTTCCTACCAGTAACAAATAAAATTGACAACCTCGTGGTATTAAGTAAATTAGATATGTTTTGTAATGTCGCTGACCTAAAACGGGTCAAAATCCGTCCACGGCTGTCAGCGAAGGCAATTCGCAGGGAATCGTTTAATGTAGTGCTACAACGTGAGTGCCAGGCGAACAACACATCTTTTGAGACAGCCTCTTTGACAACTAGGCGATTGGATTTAAGATCACGACTAATTTCATTGAACTCAGGTCAGGTGTGAAGTTCAGGTTGAGGTCAAAACCCATCTTTTTGTACTAGGTGCCTACCATTGTAGGGTAGTTTTTACGCTTATTTCGCATTTATAAAGCTTATGGAGACCTACAGAAGTATTATCTGCATGCCATCAAGGTCAAAAGACTGCACTGACCTGAACCTTTTATTTTTTGGAATGTACCGCCTGGTGTTACCATACGCTTGTTGAAATTCAACAATCCTAACAATCTCGCAAGTTCTTACTCACCGTGACGTTCTGAGTGTAATATAGGTCACTAACCTTAAACAAACACCAGCAAACCTTTACTTGGAGGAGGTATTCAGGTAACGGTGGCTGCATGGGGAGATCTGCGGGAACTTCTGGTACTTACCGGGAGCTTGATTGAGTTTGAGCTTGATTGACCTTATTTCGTCCGAAGGTCATGACCTGGGGACTTAAGCATTCGACACAAGTGAGTTGACATGCAGGTCACTCTATCTTGTGAATTAGTGCGTCGAACTCTCTCAGTTTTGAGATCTAACATGATCCCACCTGAGCGACGTCGTATTCAGCCGGCCACCCAGGCGCGTGTTTAATTGCCACTGCACCTTTCCATTTACGTAAAGCTGGTTGTTCGGTGAAAAAGTGTCCAGAGAGGTGTCCGCAGATATAACAACCGCCAGCTCGGATCCTTGGACGGGCGATGAGCCCCGAATATGCTGGGATCGAATCGCTGTCCAGCGGCGGTCCTATTGCGCCGTTCGCTGTCAGCAATGATGTCACGTTATTGACCCAGGATTGCTTGCGGTGCCGCCGGGCAAAGCTGTGCCGTGAGCATAGCGAATACACTGCCAAACGGGCTACCCCTGCTAAACGGGTCACCATGGCATGCTCATAACAAGAATCCAACACGCGTGCGTATACAGGTAGGCTTCCCGGAGCGGCACAGGTGTTACGAGTGACCCGGGCTGGAATCGATTGTTGGACTGTGGTCGGAACGGGCCATCCCCTAGCAACGGGCGCCAAAACACAGGTCGGTTACAGCGTCTGACACCGCAGCCCGGGGCAATTACGGCGCAGTTGCGCACGGTGCGCCGAGGGGCTCCTGTGCCAGCGATTGTACCGCATGGCATGCAGCGTTGGGTTATCCGCTGAGGGAACATCCAGACGCGGACCTGTGCCTGGCGAGTAGCCCACCCAGGAGCTCTATCGTAGCTTGGTAAGCCAGTGTCGTGAAAAAAACAGAGAAATCTGCCGCTATGCGTGAGGTGATCAGCGTACACATCGGGCAGGCGGGTGTCCAGATGGGCAACGCCTGCTGGGAGCTCTACTGTCTGGAGCACGGCATCATGCCGGACGGCCAGATGCCGTCCGACGAGTCCATCGGTGTTGCCGACGACAGCTTCAACACGTTCTTCTCGGAAACGGGGAGCGGCAAGCACGTGCCTCGAGCTGTGTTTGTCGACCTGGAGCCGACCGTCGTGGATGAAGTCCGCACGGGCACGTACCGTCAACTATTCCACCCATCCCAGCTGCAGACGGGCAAGGAAGACGCGGCCAATAACTACGCCCGAGGTCACTACACCATCGGCAAGGAGATAATCGACACCACCATGGACACAATCAGGAAGATGGTAGACCAATGCAGTGGGCTACAAGGCTTCCTACTGTTCCACTCGTTTGGCGGTGGTACCGGCTCCGGCTTTACGTCGCTTTTCATGGAGAAGCTGTCGATCGACTATGCCAAGAAGTCCAAACTGTGCTTTTCCATCTACCCGGCGCCGCAGGTGGCCACAGCTGTCGTGGAGCCGTACAACGCTGTTCTGTTCACGCATACCACTTTGGATCATATTGACGTAGAGTTCATGGTCGACAACGAGGCTATCTACCAACTGGCGCAAAAGAACCTGGACATCGAGCGGCCGACTTACACCAATCTGAACCGGCTCATCAGCCAGATCGTCTCTTCCATCACCGCCTCGCTCCGCTTCGACGGCGCTCTGAACGTCGATCTGGCCGAGTTCCAGACCAACCTGGTGCCGTACCCGCGCATCCACTTCCCCCTGGTCACGTACGCGCCGATCATCTCGGCCGCGAAGGCGCAGCACGAGAAAATGTCCGTGTCAGAGATCACCCCGGCCTGCTTTGAGCCGGGCAACCAGATGGTCAAGTGTGACCCGAGGACGGGCAAGTACATGGCCTGCTGCCTCCTGTACCGCGGCGATGTCGTGCCCAAGGACGTCAACGCCGCCATCGCCTCCATGAAGTCCAAGCGTACAATTGAGTTCGTCGACTGGTGTCCCACCGGCTTCAAGGTCGGAGTTAACTACCAGCCGCCGACGGTGGTGCCTGGCGGTGACCTGGCCAAGGTAATGCGCGCTGTATGCATGCTCTCCAACACCACCGCCATCAAGGAGGCTTGGGGTCGGCTGGACCACAAGTTTGACGTCATGTATTCCAAGAGAGCCTTCGTCCACTGGTATGTCAGTGAAGGCATGGAGGAGGGAGAATTCTCCGAGGCACGTGAAGACCTGGCTGCCCTAGAGAAGGATTATGAAGAAGTGGAGCAAGGAGTCATCGACGACGATGAGGACGATGACTACTGAGCCGCCGGAAGAGAACCAGGGGTACTGTGGGAAGGGCACCGAGGAGCCTGCGACACGCACATAATTGTTGAAATATGTGTTGTTTGTCAGTAAGTAATCGTGCGACTCAGCACGTTGACTTTTCCACCCGTCTCAGCCGCACGCAGTCGAGGAAGACGCCGTCAGCAACTACGCTCAGTGCCGTCAACCACCGCCGGCAAAAAAGTCGAGAAAACATTTTTACTTCCAACAGCAGTAGCTGAAAATTCTCACTCATGTGGGCGTCAGATCCAGATGTTATATGCCAAAGTGTTTCTCTTCCCCTTCATATATTCACGTATATTTGTATAGCCAGCAACAATAAATGTTTATCCCTTACAAGCTGCAGTATTGTTGCAGGCCTTTAGCAGTGCAGTGCATGGAAATCGCAAGCGATTTGGTGGCAGCACCAGCTAAGACCCCGCTCCGATAGTTTAATCATGTGCAGTGCGTTCAGTGCGTTAAGTGCCTTGGAAAACTATGAGCAAAACACGCACAGGGTAAATTTTGTTATGCGACTTCACCCCATCGAACCAGTGCGATATCGTCAGCGCATTTTGCATTGTACTGCACGGCGACAGTTGTGTGCTGCAGGTGTGGATTTTGCCACATTTGTGTAGCGTTATCCAAACGAATATGATGCATTATCCCCAGATCCAGTCTCCAACCAGCATTTGTTGCCAGCTTCATTGGCTTGTGAACAGCGCAGTTTTTCCGTATCAGGCGCAGCGATAGGGGCATGCTAATTTTTAGTGCTTCATTAGTCAAAGATTGCGCACATATATCTAGGAAGCTTTGTTCACTGTTCATGGTGCATTTGACATGTCCTAATAGCTGGTTTTGCAAGCGCTCAGCAGTATCCATGTTTTAGCAACACATGTACGTGGCAGATGGAAATATATTTATGCGTTGAGCCAAGTGTGTTAATGCCATCGATTTCACCTCACTCTGCCAATGTAATGTCTGCTCTCATCCGACCTGTCAAAGCAAACAAGCGATATCATCCAACCACGTTTTATACGCGCAGTCTGAGAAATCAAAGCAATTGCCAATGGCGTTTTTTTGTGTAGTAGACCTGTTTATTTTACCCATATGGACCAAAAATAGTTACGTTTTTTATGGCAGTGGTTTACAGACGATTGCTAAGTCGTACTTGAAAACTCCTCAATATTTCTGACCAATGGGAGTGCTCCGCACTTGTATGAGGTTTTGAAATGAAGCAGCCATCCTGAAGATCATTCGACGCAGGTCAGCCCTACCTACACACGACTACACAGCCCTACCTTTCTTAAGACCCAAAGCACTCTGATTTTTAAGCTATACGACTGCGAAGATGCGCAGACTATTTCGTGCAGACTTTTCAAGGCCATTCAGGTATGCATAACGCCAAAGCAACGTTATTCAAATCCGGCCACCTCACAGGCCAGGCGGCGTTCGAAGTCCAGAAGATTATTTTCGTCCAGCATTTCAAATTTGGCGCCCGTGAGCACGATTTTCAACTAAAGTGGACGTCAATTAGCTCTCATACAATGTCGAGTAAGCTATGCAAGCCTCAGTCATAAGTCACGTTTGGTGTGCTGGTTTGGCTGTTTGGATTACAGCCCTTTCTACCAGAAATGATCATTTCAGTACTAGAAGATGAAGTTGAATGGATAACGGTGTGGCGGGTCTTCATGCGCTTGGGGGACCAAGCGCCGAGCCTTAGCCCGCGCAGGGACCCACAGGATTGTGCTCTGGGAGCCTGGTCAGGGTACTCCTCCAGAGAGCCCCTCGGCCCACTCGTGGATGACGCATACAGCCTACCCCGGACAAGCGGGGCGTCGCGAGGATTCAGGATAAAACAAGAATGAGGAGAACAGGGTCGGATGCGGGTCACGTTTTGTACTACATAATTAGATCAAGTCATAATAAAGTCGGACATGACTTCTTCGCTGGCCAGTTACGGTAGAAATAGGACTTGTTTTCCAATAACATAAGAATAATGTCATAACCATGAATGTAAATACAAGTAAGCATCTTAAACTCACAGATCTATACGCAAAACACCACGATAAATGGCCTAATCATGACCACATAGCGATATTTTGCTCAGAGAACACTTTCAGCACCACAGCTGCCAACCTTCGATGAGTCTGAAGCACTACAAGTTAGTCCTAGGGCGGTAATTTCCCACGGCTAGTTTGGCAGCACCTCAGCGTCTTACAAACGTTCCATGACGCAATAGAAAATGATCTATTGAGAGGGATATTTACTAAAAAGAGGAGTAGTGTTGTCTCGAGTAGTCTTTTCTACTTAAATGTATGCCAAGAGTTATAAGTGAGCTTAATTCATCATAGCTGGTGCTTGCTTCAATATCTTCAAACATGGAACCTTATCTCAAAGCCAATGTTCCGCATTTTTATGGACTTTTGAACTGAAACAGCCATTTTGAGAACCGTTTGATGCATCTCACGGCCATGTCCTTTTAGGACCCAAAACGATCTGGTTCCCGAGTTACACGCCTGCGAAACTACAAGTGCGAAAAGGCTTATTGGGAGCCTATTTCAAAGCCGCCTTGGCATTAATGACGTCATAGAAATGTTATGCGATCGCGGTCATACTACGGGCTGTTTTCTGCTTATGGCCAAAACAGCATGGCCGCAGATACATTCGCAAAAACGATGATGCGGCACGTATGATGCAATGCGCGGAGGATGATTCGCTGTTAGCAAGATTTCGCTGCTGAATGCGTGTCACAAACGTAAGCGTGAGCGCTATCGGGTTGTGCGGCACTTGTGAAACGGGGCATTTTCTCTCATTTCTAGGTTATGGGTCAATATTATAAAAAAAGAAAAACACGGTCCGTAAAAAAGTACGACATCCAAAAATGGACACTCTCAGGAAGGTTGGTAAAAAGGAAGACGCGACGGCAAAATCAGTCTTTTTCCCCTGCTGGCGTTTTTTTTTTTCCGCTGACGTATTTATTATAGACAGCTCGGTTGACGCCTTGTGTACCGGAGCACAGAACCTTGCACGGGTTTATGGGTTAGCAAGGCATTATCAAATCAGGAAGACGCTGCAGTAACTTAAGATATATATTTCACTCAATATTTCACACATACTATACGACAAATTTAAATCTTGAACAAAAGGTTGTGTTCTGCAGGCACAACCTCTTAAGCCGCATTACCGTGAAACCCCGTCGGGACTTTGTTTTTAAGGGAGGTCGCGGTGAAACGCGATGTTTTAACCAAAAATCTGCGCGGAAATTGCGAGAAAACCTGCCATTTGATAGTCCCGCGAGCTGTGCAAATGTGAGATCACACTTAATTGACAAAAGAGTGTGAATCGGGGGCTTGAAATATGTGTGATCACTGGTGGTGTGTGCCAGTGGCTTGTATTGATCTTAATGTGATGGGGTGTTTGCGTGAGAGGTTTTTACTTCCGAGAGAGAACATCGTTTTGGTATTCTTTAAATCTACTGACTCCCAATAAAATGCGATATACTGATACTTGCCTCTGCCTTTACGTTTGTGTTTGAGCACGATAGAGGAGTGCCGGCAAACTAAGAGAAGCACTAGCACCTATGTTGCAGGGGTGTACAAAGGCAATTTAGTACTTCATTATGATCTTGCCAGCATTTTGAACCTATTGAGATATTACAGCATGTAATTAATCCATTGCATGCCATTATATCAGCAATTTATTTTAGCAGTAGGGGCTGGTGCGTGCAGTTCATTAATGCACACGCTCAGCATAGGCTAACATGATATGACTTTGCAAAATCACCTTTTCCTAAAGATTTCTGAAAATATGGAGCCATATTATTACCAATGCACATTCTACTGCCCTAACAAATGTTGTATGCATGCAAGCATTGCTCGCGAGTCATCAATGTCATAGTCAATGCAATTTGCGTGAGATGCTGGGTGCGGAGAAAGGTGGAATAGTATTGCTGTTGGTGTCTAAGATAGCACTTTATAACATTTTATCATGAGCCTTGTATGCACTGGCAGCTTCATCACTTTAGTGCATTTTGCTCATCCAACCGTGACTAACTGCACTTGTCATGTCTCCAGCCTTGTGCAAGGTCGGCATGTTTGCAGTGCCATTTCACCACATGTAAAATTGTCCTGTTATTTTTTTAGTAAAGTAGCTTGATGGCTGCAGCATGTTGTATGACTATAATGTGTTTGCATATTTCTCACCTACGTTTTGTAGATTCCCAAAACAGGCTGAGCAAGTGATGCCACTTATTGGTTGTCTGCTTTGCTGGAAGTGATTTGTATATTGTATCATGTCTTTTTGGTCGTTCGTATGTCAGATGGAGATTCAATACAAGGGTGCACGCTTGACCCACCTTTTCATGATGGAATTTATTATGAAAGCAGCATAGATTGCAGTACAAAATCCATGTCGTTGTTCATTATGTCACGCTACAGTACAGCACTGAAGTAGTGCCACAATAACGATGTTGATCCGTGCCATTACACAATGCACCACATTGGTTGACTACTCTACGTCAAGCCTATGATACGGAAACTTATAATTTATGAATGACTGGTAACAATTGATTTGACGATGCCAAAGGACTATCAACAGCAGGAATGTCATTGCACCACAATTGCTGTATCAGGGTTAACTATTAATTGCACAAATGAACCTAAGCAAGAAAAACATTCTTGGTGGCTAAAACTTACCATCTTTACCACAGCAATAACAATGCTTTGGCAACCAATTCATAGCAACGTCACGAATTTATAAATTTTCGCATGACACCGCATTTCCAGTCACAAACAATAAAGAAAGTAACTACCGTGCAAATCACATGGTATCAATTTCAGGACTACAGCACTGCAGGCAAGGGTTGGTCGACAACACAGCATTGACAAAATCATCAGCAGCAGCATAGCAGCAACAGCAGTAGCACGCATATCGTACTTTGATATTAATAATAATCAAAACACAATAGGCTGTGCTGCTGCTGTTGCTGCTAATAACAGGGCAGTAATAGAACAGGCTAGCATCCCAATCACATTCTTGATGCATACATCTGTACTACCATATTACCTCACTAAACCTCGATTACGAAATAACTGGACATAGTCCATGGTCCATAGTCTATTGGCCAGATGACACAACATGCGTAATAACGTTCTGAGCTTTCTAATCCCACGTTTAGATCCTGAGGAGGTCTGGTGGTAAGGTGCCGTCTGGGGCAGCCACGACTGCCGGTCGCCTTGGGTGGCGCCGTCTTAGGTATCCTTGCACAAATAAAACACTCACAAACGTCTTAAAGCGGTTCGTGTAGTAAACGGTCATGAAAACGGCTATTGCCACGTTATCTATGACTTAAATTTGTTTCGTTTAGTTACCCTGGCAACCTATCAGATACCACAATCATCATTATGAGCATTAGCGTAACGAAGTCCAGTTTAGGCGTTCAAAGGCCTTTTGTTGAGAGATGAATATTCTCTGGTGGTATACATCTCCCCACCAACAATCCTAGGATACAGACGCTCTCTACTTACACTCGCCTTGTCGCCTCACAAAATGTGCTGTTGCAGTAAGTTTCCATAACGTCCCCCAGTTTCGGGTGGTGAGGTAATGATTGCCCCATTGCGCATATGAGGCGGTTGCATGGCCTATTGTCCGGGGCCGCGTTCCCCACTGCCAAACGCCGTGAACAAGTCGCGGCCTATGACGTAAAAGGTGGGTGCGCCACAACAGTTCCAACGGCTTGGAGTATAGTCGGTTGTGTATGACGTAAGTGCTTGCGACATCAAAGGTAGCGACCCCGATAGGTACTCTGCCGGTGGGGTACGTGGTCCTGGTATTACACCAGCTACGCACTCGGCGAGCTACGTATTGCTTCCGGGCACCCTCGCCATCAACCATTAATGCCTTCTGCAGCCAACGGTGACATCGTAAGGTTGGTGTCATGTAATGACATGGAGGAGATAGTTATCAGAGCCAATTATTTCCACGCTGGACAGTATACAAGTTTTGCTGCGAGTCTTCTGGAGGAACGGTGCTCTTTAAGCTAAGCCATGCAGTCGTTGGAAAATGGATACTTCGCGACGTTTGCGCTGCGGACAGTGCCGCAGTCAGAAATTCGCAATCGGAAGGGAACAATTCAAACATTACCACTGAGAATCCGCGTTGATGAGCGGCAGGTGCGAAAAGCTTATTCCGTGGCGTAAAACGGCATGAAATGCGCTCGATTTGGTTTTAATTGTCTACCTAGTTGTTTTAGCATCAACATGTATCCACGCACATATTAATGCACGTAATACGTTTCATGGGGGCAGGGGGGGGGGGGGCAGGGCATAGGCCTCTGGAGGTTACAAGGTGGCTATTCCCTGGCTGTGACATTGCATTATTTACTCATATTAGGTCTTTTAAATGCACAGTTTGCAGTAGTTTTTGATGACAAACTTGGACTATATTACATGTAAAACAAATAGGGATCTTCCTTAAAGGACACCTGGCAAGCGCCAGAACAGCCACAGCTGTATACCATAAACAAAGCACTCAAGACGGCGTACTATATAACACGACGCGCTTATCTGGACAAATATGAGGTCAATATAGCCCAAAATGTTGCGTTGTTCGCAACCGCTGACACTTTCACATCTGCAGGCAGCAGGTTCCATTCGCTAGAATGGAAGGCCCTACAAACTCGGCTTAACTAGGATATTCGCCCAAACTCAGTCCGGACATGCACCACCCGCAACAGTCTGACGGCTGTTGGTCGAGTGCCAAGAGCACTGCAATGCACATTTTGCACATGAGGGCATTTCACACACACAAGTAATATGTGTTCCACATGTTTTTGGAGATTTCATTGCCGGAAAGGCCGCAGTAATGGATAGAAAGTGTATGACTATAAATGGATTACAAAAAATGCATGTCATGTTCTGCGATCTAAAACATCAGATATTTTCAATTCAAATTACTGCTTTTATGCCATCGAGGGGCTTAGACGCAATAGCATCCTGACCAAAATTTATAGCCAGTGATAGGAGGTACACCTTCTAGATTATGGGCTATATCTGCAAGGTTGCAATACTGTGGTTTGGAGACGTTCGTAATATAACCAGAGAAGGCATGCCATGATTGATGTATGACCGTATCGCGGCCTCTGAGGTGTAACAGGAACCCGTCTTCGAGTTTCTGGATGAATTACCTAACCTTTCCTCGAAAGTTGACCAATCTGTTTCAATCTGTATAGTGACCAATGTGAGAAACATCCTGAGGAACCTTGTCCAGGGTCAAGTCAGCTTGGTGAGCTATGCTGTCATCACTGAAGTCTCGCACGGTCATTTTTACTTCCGCGTGCAGTCCTTCAATGATTTCTTGTTTTAGAGTGTTTCTTATTTCATCTTCTGACTGGTTGGACTACATGTCAGTCAGCGTTACAAACGCAGGAACGCTGAGCTGTGTTGCGCGCGTTCACACCAAGTCATCTGAGCTGTCGAGTGAAACTGATGTAACAATATGATAAATCAAATATTCGCGGCACCAGATGGGATCAGGAAACTGGCATAACCGACCTATTTCCGTGCCTATAACTTCTATGGATCACGCGCACAGAAGGAGCAGGGATATCATGTACGATGAGGCAACCCAACCTAGCCCCAGCCTTGACGTCTGGGGGTTGTAAACAACACGCTAAGATCCTACAGAGCAAAACCACAATAGTTCGTTTGGGTCTTGTTACAACACCGTGCGACCGCGATTACGGATGTCAGACCGTAGTACAGCCCCTTAGAGGTTTTTGGAGATTTCATGTTGTTTTGTTAGCCCTGTGACTTTAAACTTTTCTTACTAGTAACAAATAAAATTGACAACCTCGTGGTATTAAGTAAATGAGATATGTTTTGTAATGTCGCTAACCTAAAACGGGTCAAAATCCGTCCACGGCTGTCAGCGAAGGCAATTCGCAGGGAATCGTTTAATGTAATGCCACAACGTGAATGCCAGGCGAACAACACATCTTTTGAGACAGCCTCTTTGACAACTAGGCGATTGGATTTAAGATCACGACTAATTTCATTGAACTCAGGTCAGGTGTGAAGTTCAGGTTGAGGTCAAAACCCATCTTTTTGTACTAGGTGCCTACCATTGTAGGGTAGTTTTTACGCTTATTTTGCATTTATAAAGCTTATAGAAACCTACAAAAGTATTATCTGCATGCCATCAAGGTCAAAAGACTGCACTGACCTGAACCTTTTATTTTTTGGTATGTACCGCCTGGTGTTACCATACGCTTGTTGAAATTCAACAATCCTACCAATCTCGCAAGTTCTTACTCACCGTGACGTTCTGAGTGTAATATAGGTCACTAACCTTAAACAAACACCAGCAAACCTTTACTTAGAGGAGGTATTCAGGTAACGGTGGCTGCATGGGGAGATCTGCGGGAACTTCTGGTACTTACCGGGAGCTTGTTTGAGTTTGAGCTTGATTGACCTTATTTCGTCCGAAGGTCATGACCTGAGGACTTAAGCATTCGACACAAGTGAGTTGACATGCAGGTCACTCTATCTTGTGAATTAGATGTCTCGAACTCTCTCAGTTTTGAGATCTGAATCGGGCCAACATGACCCCCACCCGAGCGACGTCGTATTCAGCCGGCCACCCAGGCGCGTGTTTAATTGCCACTGCACCTTTGCATTTACGTAAAGCTGGCTGTTCGGTGAAAAAGTGTCCAGAGGGGTGTCCGCAGATATAACAGCCGCCAGCTTGGACCCTTGGACGGGCGATGAGCCCCGAATATGTTGGGCTCGAATCGCCGTCCAGCGGCGGTCCTGTTGCGCCGTCCGCTGTCAGCAATGGTGTCACGTCATTGACCCAGGATTGCTTGCGGTGCCGCCGGGCAAAGCTGTGCCGTGAGAATAGCGAATACACTGCCAAACGGGCTACCCCTGCTAAACGGGTCACCATGGCATCCTCATAACAAGAATCCAACACGCGTGCGTACACAGGTAAGCTTCCCGGAGCGGCACAGGTGTTACGAGTGACCCGGGCTGGAATCGATTGTTGGACTGTGGTCGGAACGGGCCATCCCCTAGCAACGGGCGCCAAAACACAGGTCGGTTACAGCATCTGACACCGCAGCCCGGGGCAATTACGGCGCAGTTGCGCACGGTGCGCCGAGGGGCTCCTGTGCCAGCGATTGTACCGCATGGCATGCAGCGTCGGGTTATCCGCTGAGGGAACATCCAGACGCGGACCTGTGCCTGGCGAGTACCCCACCCAGGAGCTCTATCGTAGCTTGGTAAGCCAGTGTCGTGAAAAACCAGAGAAATCTGCCGCTATGCGTGAGGTGATCAGCGTACATATCGGGCAGGCGGGTGTCCAGATGGGCAACGCCTGCTGGGAGCTCTACTGTCTGGAGCACGGCATCATGCCGGACGGCCAGATGCCATCCGACGAGTCCATCGGTGTTGCCGACGACAGCTTCAACACGTTCTTCTCGGAAACGGGGAGCGGCAAGCACGTGCCTCGGGCTGTGTTTGTCGACCTGGAGCCGACTGTCGTGGATGAAGTCCGCACGGGCACGTACCGTCAACTATTCCATCCATCCCAGCTGCAGACGGGCAAGGAGGACGCGGCCAATAACTACGCCCGAGGTCACTACACCATCGGCAAGGAGATAATCGACACCACCATGGACACAATCAGGAAGATGGTAGACCAATGCAGTGGGTTACAAGGCTTCCTACTGTTCCACTCGTTTGGCGGTGGTACCGGCTCCGGCTTTACGTCGCTTTTCATGGAGAAGCTGTCGATCGACTATGCCAAGAAGTCCAAACTGTGCTTTTCCATCTACCCGGCGCCGCAGGTGGCCACAGCTGTCGTGGAGCCGTACAACGCTGTTCTGTTCACGCATACCACTTTGGATCATATTGACGTAGAGTTCATGGTCGACAACGAGGCTATCTACCAACTGGCGCAAAAGAACCTGGACATCGAACGACCGACTTACACCAATCTGAACCGGCTGATCAGCCAGATCGTCTCTTCCATCACCGCCTCGCTCCGCTTCGACGGCGCTCTGAACGTCGATCTGGCCGAGTTCCAGACCAACCTGGTGCCGTACCCGCGCATCCACTTCCCCCTGGTCACGTACGCGCCGATCATCTCGGCCACGAAGGCGCAGCACGAGAAGATGTCCGTGTCAGAGATCACCCAGGCCTGCTTTGAGCCGGGCAACCAGATGGTCAAGTGTGACCCGAGGACGGGCAAGTACATGGCCTGCTGCCTCCTGTACCGCGGCGATGTCGTGCCCAAGGACGTCAACGCCGCCATCGCCTCCATGAAGTCCAAGCGTACAATTGAGTTCGTCGACTGGTGTCCCACCGGCTTCAAGGTCGGAGTTAACTACCAGCCGCCGACGGTGGTGCCTGGCGGTGACCTGGCCAAGGTAATGCGCGCTGTATGCATGCTCTCCAACACCACCGCCATCAAGGAGGCTTGGGGCCGGCTGGACCACAAGTTTGACCTAATGTACGCCAAACGGGCGTTTGTTCACTGGTACGTGGGTGAAGGGATGGAGGAGGGAGAGTTCTCCGAAGCGCGTGAGGATCTGGCAGCTCTTGAAAAGGATTATGAAGAAGTGGAACAAGGGGTCAACGACGGCGAAGAGGAAGGAGAGTACTAGGCAACTGCAGAACGCTGGGAAGAGTAGCAGAAATTGGCACAAGTTGTTTGGTTTCCAATAGGTATTGCGTATTGTATTGTACTTATCAATGCCTACCATCCATATTTGTGTTTCACACGAGTTCAGTGACATTCATCTTCTATTGCAGTCTGAAAATGTCAGCTGTACCAATCATTTCGCAACATAACATTTCGCCATAAGCATTGTTCAAGTGAGAACGCGTTTATTACTGATGCACCGTGCGTTTATTACTGATGCATGCGCTTGTAGCGCACAACGCACAGAGAACTGTGCTGAATCCATTCGTTTGCGTTTTCATTTCGTTTGCGAGAACGCAGTATGGCTTGTATTCTGTTTTGGGTTTATTGGTACAGGCTCCTATCATATCAAGAAACTTGGGTCTTCACCGTTGATTCACTCTCACTCAGCCCGAGTGTCAGCTTTTTTAGTGCGCTGTGCTCACATCGCATCGGACGCGTCTACACCGTAAATATTTGTAGTTCTAGCGGGCCCAGCAAGCAGCGACCCCATGGCACCAATCCCTCATAAGCATGTTGACGGCATTGAAAGCCGTTTCTATTACACATGGAGCATGAATCGCATGATTCGGCGGTGTTTCGCGACCTGCTATCGTTGCACTGGCAGATCTCAATGGTACAGGTTGTTACCAGATGATGCAACTGTGATACAAGACCGAACCATGTCAATCATTCGTCATTCTTTTTTCGGCACTCAAGGGACATACTATGTTTTCAACCCGGCTGGAGCTGCATCTCTGCATGTGCGAGTGGGTGGAGTCTCCATTTCCGACACGGTCATGCACGGTCGAGACGGCTGACGCACACTGGAAGTACATTATTTGTGGCGTTTTTAGCGAATAAGCATTGTTCTACGACATAATCCTTGCATGACAAGGACCAGGATATTTGCATAATTTTGACGTTTGTACCAAAGCAATCTAATAGAATGACTGAACTCTGGCTTTGGTGGATTGCTTAGAGTGCTGCATTGCCAATATCACACATTCCAGATAACCCTGGACCCCTCGTGCAAACATTTGGAAATACATTCAAGCTTCAGTGTGTCAGCGTAATTCCTGAGACGACACAAGAACAATTCAGCCGCGACTAGTTCTCGTCTCGGTTTGTCTCTCGACGCAGTGGTCGCGACACGGCTCCTCCACAGGCTCCTGCCATACTCCCAGGACAAGCTGCCCGGGTTGAAGAGCCGACGCAACAAAACCCAACTCCACGTTCAGTAGCCACGCACAAACTCACGGACGAGTGATAAATCAAACTTCACTCGCAGCAGCACTGATCAGCATTGGGAGTGTTGGACTTCTGTCCGAAATCCCAACTGGACGATGATTGGCACCCACCAAGTCATCGTACGAATTACGGCTTGCATGCTGAAATGTATGCTAGCCTGTGCCCGGTCGGGGTTCTGAAACAACCGTGCCCAGCCGGCGGGGGGGGGGGACACTGACTTCTCCTGGGATATCTAACTTCTAGACGTCGTATGGGAAAAGCAGCAAAGATACCGTTGTGAAGGTCCCGTCACCAATGTAAAGTTAGACCTTGTTTAACCCCAAGGTCATGACCTAAGGACCTCTAATTTGACACAAGTGAGTTCAGGTATAGGCAAATACACCCTGTATATTTGGTGTCTCTAGCTGTCTTACTTTTTGAGATCTCAGGTGGTCGAATTGACCCTTTCCCATACGAGCGAAGGGTACTCAACCGGTCACCAGGGCGCATGTTCAGGCTTTAAAGCATCTTAGGGAAGGCTTCAGCATGATCTGCGACCACTACTGAGTCTAACGTTATGATACTTCACCCCCCCCCCCCCCCCCCCTCCGTCTTTTCCCTTGTCACTCTTCGATGACGTTCAACCAAAACCCTCCTCCCTTGCATGTGCAGCGTGACTGTAGGGACGGTACATGAGCGTCACCGTCGCTCAGGCGGATTGTACTTGGTAACGGCAGCCCGTGCGGTAGTGCGTTGTAAACCCGGGACCCTTCTGTTAATTCGTTCGTCTCAGACTTGGGTTATGACACCGACGGTGCGAACGTTCGAAATCTTGCGCCCCAATGGCGTTAGCCACCAGTAAGGCTTCGTGAAAACTCCTTTAGTAATGACAAGCAGGTGTGACATGCCAGCAACTTTTCATCACAGACACCGCCTAGCGGAAAACAACCACGATGAATGAATGACGAGTTGTGACTTTACCAGGACACAAAGAAACCGCTCTTACTCTGTATAGTGCTGATCCGTCAATTTCTCACAAGTGGAACCATTTTCCAAACTATCGTACTCGTCCGGAGTTAGTCTGCAAAAACGTACCGGCCACTTGACTCTCCGGCAGTGACCAGATGTCGATAGAGTCCAGAGAAGAAATGGATCATCACCTAGTAATCAATCACGTATGCGTCACAACCAGAATTCTTCCCTTGAAATCTCCAGGATTCGAACAGGGATCTTCATGACGAGTTCAGTGTCTTACCAACCAAGCTAGTCGGGAAAAGCTTGCAATATAGCTCAGTCTGTAGGGTAGTGGACTCGCGATCAAGAAGACCGTGGTTCAAATACCTCGTCTTGAACCTTCCGAAAAAAACGGCGTCCATTTGATTGGAAAGGAAGACATCTGAATATGCAGTGTATTTATCTCCTGAATCTTCACACCACTTAAATCGGAATAGTGGTCATGGAATATTGGACAAACGATCTACAAATCACTAAATCTATAGGTAAAACACAAATTTGGAACCGACAGACAGGCTGCCTTGAGTTAGAGAGCTTTGAGGGCGCGCCATTTGCATTGCTTATTTGCGTAGGCTGTTTTACCTAAGTGACATCGCGAACGTGTACAAGCGTGAACTAAAAGGGCCCGTGACCATGCTTCTCACAAATCAAACACCAAACAAGCTAGGCAACCATCACTCACGGGGCAACACCCTTCCTAACACCGCGCGAAAGACAGGTGAGCAGAGTGTGCGGCGGTAACTGTATCCGGAACACGCAATTAGTCATCCTGTGCACTGGCACGTCTACAAACCGAATGAAATCGCCACGTTAGTGGGGCGATCACGAGCTCCCACTTGATCCGAACGGCACGCGCGTCTGTTGGGGCCAGCGTCCATGCGAAGGTGACGTATTCCGCGTGCCGGCCAGCTGCACACCCGACCGGGCTCCGCCACTTGGCGCGGCGGCCGGTCGGCGGCAGCGGCCGCGTGTCCCTGTGACGACCTCGCAGCAGCGTCCGGCCCTACTTCTCCTCACACCACTCGTTCTCCTTGCGCACTTGTTCCTCCTCGATGGGCGTGAAGTCGTTCTTGATGTTGAATGTCTTGCGGATCTCCTCAGGCGTCTTGCCCTTGATCATGTTGGCCACCGTCTTGCAGGTGACATCCAGCAGGCCTTTGATGTCCAGGTAGTTGGCCGCCTAGAACGGAATGTCGCGTCAAACGCCGCGAACCCCAATGGCCGTCATCCACGCAACGAAGCACTGAAAAAAACTCAGACGGAAACGGCTTAGCTGTACAAAACACATACAGCGCTTCGCCACAATTCAGCACAACACGTACATGCACAGGTTCACCTCCGGCGATGATGCTATTTAGTGCTTTGGGACGCGTCGACTGCGTGGCCACTTTGCGCCCTCACAAAAGCTGTCAGTTGCATGCCACACGGTCGGTGCCGTCATTAAGTGCTACCCCGCACCTTACACGTTCGCGTCGTATGCATCGGTCGAGGGTGCACGCTTATGCCCTATGCAGCTGTCGAACATCCCGATAACGCCCATTCACGAGCGCACGTGACGTACGTGACTGCGAAGGGACACACTGGTCGGGCGCACACGAGCCCCTCCCCCCCCCCGCCCCGGCCGCCGGCCGCTCACCAGAATTAGCTCGAAGAGGGTGCCCTGGTCGACCTTCAGGAAGTCGGCATCCCAGCTGCTGATGTCGTCGGTGCGCTTCTGCTTGTTCTCGTCATCCTCTGGCTGCGGCGGGTCGTCCTTGTGGTGCTGCGCCCACTGCAGCACCTTGCGCAGGATCGCCGCATTCACGTTCGGCAGCGGCACGATCTCCTCCTCGCCCTCGTCCATGCCTGGCCCCAACGACAGGTCAACGTCACACAGCGGCAGGCAGGGGCTCTCAACGACGCCAGGAGGGCGTAATACGACATCCTGGTTACGCAGCACCATGCGGGAGCGCCACGACAGGCACGGACGTGACAGGTATGAACGTATGTCAGGGAAGTGAACACACCGCATTAAGGTGAACACAATCAACGAGGACGATGCCAGCATAAGCATTAAAAAAGCGGACGAGAAAAGGGTTGCAAAAACAAATACGGGAACCTTACCTAGGTCCTCCAGCATGGTTTTGATGACAACCGAGGCTTTGGCGACCTCAACATCAATTTCAAACACCTCGCCGTCCGAACTCTGCAGCTTGATCATAGTCATGTTTCGTACCCTAAATGGCCCGAGAGGACGCCGCACTAACACCTGGAGGCAAGGCAAACGCTGTTAGATGTGGCGGCGGTGCCACAATTACAACAGAGCAGAGCACTGAATGGCGGACAGGGGCAAGACCTGCGCGCTCTGCCGTTGTGGCTAGCAAAGCTAGCCACACGCGCAATGCGTGCTTGAACTATCCACGTCCGCATATCAGACCGCTGTATGGCTGGATTTAATAGATATTTCAACTTCGCACATGTAAGTGACAGAAAACTGACTTCCCATTTCAAGCTCCTGTGATATTGCATCTTTGTGAGAAGCCCAGAATTGGATTAATTCACAGAACGACGGCCCAGGCTCAAGAACGCGACTCAATCGAACCATCCAGGTAAGACCGTCGGATATAATTACCCGAAAGATATCTCGTTTTCTGCTCATAGGTGGTCCGAGACGCAAAAAGACAGTGTTACGCACAAGTCCCGCCACGTGCAGCCTACAGAAGTGTGCACACGATACATTTTCCGTGGGGAAGCTAAGGAAAATGCATAATGTGCAATACCAGAAAGTACCAATGCCTAAATGTGAAAGCACACTTGTGCGACCTCCACAGACAGGGCGATAACTGAACGGACAGGGGTGAAGGCTAGTGACCGCATGAGTCAACAGAATGCCAACATTAACAAATAGGACGACCTGCACGTTGACGCGAGTTTCAGGTTATTTAAACAAGAGGGGCCTTGCGCCCGTGACGTTTCGGCATTGGAGTTGGGAGATCGCGGAAACCGTAGACCTCCAGTCTGCGAGGAGGTACTGGTTAAATAACGGTATCAAGCAGACAATGGTTATATTGGGAAAATGCGACCCTTCGAAGCTCTTTTTACGCATCATGCGCACGGTTCTTATGCTGAGTTAACGATTTTTCATATAGCTGGTGGCACTGGTTTAACGACGATATAGTGCTACGCAACGATTGCATCGGCGGCATGCAATATTTCGAGCTGTGTTCTTTCTCAAGTCAATTCAAGAGTAAGGAGTATATTGAAGGTCGTTACTCAGCATAAGAACTTTAAGTTCATCATGCCGAAAATCAGGAGCTGGGGGCCTTCTTTCTTACATCGAGCTGTGACCATAGCCAGATTTCATCGCAAAATTAACGCCATGCCGTTTTTCACCCTGGAACCCGCCATACAAAATGTGCCGCTCCCATTCCTCGCTACCCTGCCGTGATGCTATCAGGCGGAAGATATATCGCAGAACCGCAATTCAAGCTTAATGTCGCCATCATGCTGCATGATAAGTCAGCACACCGCATGCCTTCAGAAAGCAGTTCCCATGATCCCAAATGCGGAGAGTTGCGTGCATCTTCCGATCCCCAGCCACGTGAGCGTATTCAGGCGAAGACCTCATTCATTTCCGTGCCATCAGATAACCGGAACACCAAGTGAGGTCCGACGCCTGGGCTGCATGTTCTCGATTTAGAAACGGGCATGCGCGCACAGACCCTTCCCTCACACCTACCCATATGGCATGTATAGATTTACGCGAATAAATCTTGGCGTAAAAAATCACGCAGACGTGAGAAAGAACGGAGAGCATGCGACAGAGTTTTACAACACACAACAAATTGCGCGTCCCTGTGGTAAACTTACTCGGTTTGTATTTCTTAGTTATGCCCCTCCCCCCACCCTTCCATGGTACAATTTTGCATACGACCCTGTTCAGCAATATACCAGATTCACGACGAAGCAGAAAGGTCAAACAAACCAGTTGCCTTTTTCTGAACCTCTTCTTCACAGATAGAAAGTTGTGCAAACATGTGAATTCCAGGGTAACATCCAGTGGCTTGCACGGCCTTTGGGTGGGGCGGATCGGTGGTGCTGGCGTAACGTCCGTGCCAATTCGATCATCCATCGGGACACCGGCGTGTCCAGCTGCCATTAGGGTAAGCCACACATGTGTCAATCAGCTGAAGGGAAAACACATGTAGAAGAACACGGTATATACAGTTTCTTGTGGCCCCTGCCCAGGGATATTGTACGGAGGCAAAACAAACCATGCCCTTGCCCAAAATGTATAGCCATGAATGATGGTGCGTAAATTACGAGACAATTACTTTGCATAAAAATTAAACAGGCTGCCATCATTGCATAGATGCTGCTAAAACACTCCCCAAGTAAAAGCATGGCTTTCAATTAACCATTTGAATAAGAAAATAACGCAAGCAAAACAAGTTAGGCATAAGCCCAATTTTCCCTTTACTTTAAAGGGAGTGTTCCACATTTATATGTGGTTTTGAATTGAAACAGACATCTTGAAGACCTTTTGATGCTGTTCACAATCATGCCCTGAAGGCCTACTCCCTTGTAGTTTCTGAGCTATAAGACCACAAAAATGAGCGAAGGTATGTCAGGGAGTGTTTAAAAGTCACCTTAGCATTCATGATGTTATCAACAAGTCATTCCAATCGTGTCCTTTCGTATCCATATGGCGATCAAGGCTGAAGTAAATATCATGGTCGAGACATTAATATCTGGCATTAGTAAGCGTGATTTCCAGATAAAATGTCCATCAACTGACTCTCAATGTTGTGCAAGATATCATGACATAATAAAACTGTGACACATTGAGGAGCATAGTTAAGGAATGGAGAATTGTGCTGTCTTGTGCAGGCTTTTCCCCTTAGAAAGGCATACCAATTGATATAACTGAGCTTGTTCCAGTATATCTGATCCTTTCTTCAATATCTTCAAATGTGAAACCTTCCCTCTGACAGAAGTGTGTGGTTTTTCCTTAACCGTGTTAGTTTCACAAATAGCTGTATATATGGTGGTACAATTCTAAAAGTGGCAGAATTTTCCTGGAAATGGTTCCATTCACAAAGATAAAGCTTCAAAGCAATGAAATAAGCAAGGAAATATGTCATGTTATCACACATTTTAAGCAGCATGACCATGCCCCAACCTATTATGCCATTTCCTTTTGTTTACTTATTTTCTTCTCACCCTTCAATGTTAAATATTTACCTTCATTCCCATGCAGGATTTGCTAAGGAGCCCTTTTGATCCATGGCCTTCAATGACCAACTCTTGTTATATAGGTACTTGATGATGGTGTCAATCAAGTGATCCCACCATGGGGTAGTCTTGTCTCGACCTATTTATTACATTCAGTAACAAATAATTCAATAACATTCAATGGCCCTGTCTCATCCAATATGATCAGCACATCAGCATGCTGTTTGAAGCACTTTCTTTTTGCTATTAAACTGCACATAAAACATTTTGGATCCACACATCATCACAAAATTCTAATTCTATCAAAATTTCTGGATTAAATTGAAATTACAATTCCAAGTAAATTTACCCACATAAATGCCAAAAGGAAGAACAAATGATTTAGTAGTATGTTGTGGTTAATGCAACAGCCAGAGTGCTCAGCCATTTTGTGATGCCATGCTGCAGATGATGTAACTGCAAATGTTATCATGTAAGCAAATTCTATGTCATGCAGTGCCATTGTGCAAGTGCCTTATGTAATGATATTGTGCATTACTGACTTCACACAATGCTGGGGTGATGCTAGGACAGAATGATAGGGTGGTATGACAGACAGGGTGGTACATAGGATGGTAGGGTGGTATGAATATTTCTTCTTCTCAGATCTTTTTGTGTCTTCATTAATGGTGTCACCTTTGTGTACAAATGTCCTGTTTTACACACAGCAGTTGTGAACATAACATAAATTGTTGATTAATTGATGCTGAAACTTGTGACTAGCTGATTGAACTGCTCACTAAGACATGTTCTTTAAACCAACACACAAACACAATATAGAGGGAATGTTCCACACTTCTATTGGGTTTTAAACTAAGATAGTTACCTTCAAGAACATTTGCTGCATTTCACAGCCTTGCTCTTCTTGGGACCTAGATCCTTCTAGTTTCTGAGATATACTCCCACAAAGATATGGAAACTAATTCTGGGAGTGAATTTTGAGACACACTGGCATTCATGGCATCATAAAATCTTTCAAATTCTGCTATTCCACAAACCACACAGCAATTAAGGCCAATAAAAATATGATGGTAGTTGTTTACATCTGGCATTCACAAACCTGGTTCCCAGATATAACTGCCATCAACTGGCTGTTAATCAATGTTGTGCAAGGTGTGGCAATGTAAACAATGATGTCAAGAAACATATTCACTAAACACAGGAACTGTGTTATCCTGAGCAGTCTTTTCACTCAAAGGATACAACAAGCTGTCAGTGGGCATGTTTCATCACATCTGATGCCTGTTTTAATATCTTCAATCGTGTTCCCAAATATGGGGGGGAAATTAATTTGTTGGCATATTTTGTTGGTAGGCTTAGCCATTTCTTTTGAGCCCCCCCCCCCCACACACCCTCATGTTATGGAGCTATGCATAAGTCTACAAACATGACAGGACAGAGGACAGAAGGTAAGCATTCCCTTGGTTTGGACATCATCATTCCTCCTCAATTCACACCAGTCAATCTATTATCTGAAACCTGAATCACCCCTGGTCTTCTATGGGGCATTATGTTTCAGTGTGCAAAATCCCCGAGACAGAGCATGATGGACTCCTGAAAATTTGAGATGTAACAGCCTGTAAGAGCAAAAAAAGCTGAAGCAGCTAAATAATTTGGGAAATGTTAAGGCCTGATGTCTGATATAAAAGCATTATCATTACCAGATCTGTAAGCCAAGGCAATTTTGGCAAGATCTTATTGGGACAGGAGTGGGGCACTTCCTCCCACCCTGGAGCAGCCTATCAAAATATTTGACCTGAAGTAATGAATTAGAAAATTAAGGGCATAATATGTTTTAAGATATCAAAACTTGGTTAAATGACAGAACATGATCGGGTCTGATGGTAGAACACGCTTTTGAGGCCAATAACATTACAAAATTTATCCCAAATGGAACCATTAACTATTATTACTATTACTTTTATTATTACTAACATTAACATATATTCATGGCAGAATTTTGTCTGCTCCTAACAGCTTGTCAGCATGTTTGCCATTTACTGCAGACTGGGATATCACTGTGGGGCATTGTCCTCTTCCCATCAACCGGTTTAAAAAACATACAGTCTGAATGTCATAAAATTCACTAATTATGCCTTAAACCTGAAACAATACATAACTGTCATGTGATCATCGAAGAACTGCGCACAAAGGGGGGATCACCAACTTCCAGTCCTCAAACTCTCTCTTTCCCAGCCCAGGCACTGCTGGTGATCTGGTACAGACGGAACAGGAAGACCTTAACACTGCAATCACGCAAAGCTAAGCCGTAATTACCAGAGTTTCAGATATATCCTCGTACAGGCAAGATGGGCCTTATCGGAAACGACTGACGACGAATACACCACTGGAACAAACTCCAACCAAGCCCGTAAAACAGGGGTAAAACTGTCTGCTGCTTCTCGCCTCTTCATCGCCTCACCTTATCATGACGTCATTGGTAACGAGACTCATATGCACTCCGCGCCGCTACGTGGCTGAAGCTAAACTGATGACAGCCCGAACATCGAAATAGTTGCACAGATAATGCAAAACCCGCTAGCAAGAGGTGCATATAACCAGTAAGCCGCTTACGTATATTTTTACGAAAACATGATGCTTCGCAAGCCTAGGCGGCAAATCATTCAAATGCAATGGTCTACAAAAATGAAGGCGTACACACAATGCTTGTTCGCCATAGGACGGTAGGAACATCGAGCTGTCCTCCTATGAATCACGAACAATTTGTTGGTGACACATTGTACGGCCAGATAGCCGACTGCGTAAAAATTAACGTCGAGTATGATGATGTACAGGGCAACCTTAGCGGCTATCAATTACAATGCACTTCGATCTCCCACGACCTCGCGCCCGTGACCATGCTGTCACTGGTATGCGGGTGAGTGGTGAGTCTATTGTCGAGTCAATTCCGGGCCGACCGTGCTCGGTCGGTACCCGTTTACATTCCGGCGTGCTTGGTCTGCCTGTCTGCGAGGCCGACAGTGAGACAGCAAGACAGACCTTCTCTGCCTGCGTTATCACAGCGAACGTCAAAACACGTATGTTGCGTTCTTGAGGTGTTTATGTGCGTTGCTATGCTTAACGTCAAAGTCGCATGAAGATAAAATTTTAGATTGCGAAAGCGGAGTGCAGAGCACGGCATGTGTCTGTAATAGCTTCTTTTAGTTATCCAGAACAACCTTAACTGTAAGGCTGATGAATTTCTGTGTGTTTGATACCGGTACCAGTGCGCTCCAAAAATGCCATTTATTCCACCCTGAGCATAGTCTTTTTTGACAGCACGCTCAAGTAAATGGGAAAGGTAGGCATGAAATGGTCAGCATGTTCCAACAATGGACACCACGCACGCCTGTGTGAGCCTGGTTCATGACTGGCTGTGTTTTGGCGTCGGTCACCATTTGCTCATTCTTCCGCGGCAACCACTGGGTGTCGTAATAAAAGATGGGCTTTCCTTGCTCCCGTACAGCTCCCTACGGCTCGCCGTAGCACTGTGCTACTTAACCTCGCAAAAACGCATTCATAATCGGCGCTCAGCGTATGATGCTAGTCTTGGTGCAATGGCAACGGACGTTCCCCTAAGTGAGGGGGGGGGGGGGCTAAAATGGGCACTAGCCATTTTTGATACTCCTTTCGAGTTGAGATTCATGGGGTGGATGCTAAATTTACATAAAGTCGGGGCTTATCTCCACCCCTAGGACCTGTGCCCATGCGTAAGCATATCCACTCCCCACGCCACTTGAACTTTAAAGGCTTTGCTGAATATAAGCACGCAGAGCATAAACTCATGCTTTTATTTCATTCCCTTGATCGGGCTGCAGATATACGCACATACAAATAATACTCTGCTTGTCACTGGTTTGGAGGCAGCCTGATATTTAGGCTGCATATCCGACAGCATGCGTATGCACGTTTTTGTTTTATCACCGATTTCATTTCAACCGCTGGGCATATATGCCTGGAGATTCATTTCTGCCGCGGTTTTCGAGAGAGGGCTTTCAATTGCAATACTGATTTCACTGTGACTGTTGGGCGCACAAGCTTGCAAAGCACATCATCGTATTTAACATTAAGTTACACATGACTAGCCCAGTGTTCATATGCGCCTTACCCTAACAGCATTCGTAATCGATACGAAAAAAGACGATGTTCCGGCGCCCCATCTCGTATAACAATTATGTATGCGTTTACATTTATGATGACATTGTATTGTGCCTAATGGCTAGGTCATAGGCTTGACATCATCATATTCGCCATTAATTCCTACGTCATCGACTCGCTGACCACATGCACCTTCCGCGAACGGTCTGTTCATCGTCTGTACGAGGATTTTCCATGTTCCAACTTCCAGCTGTCCGCGGCGTCACGCCCCACGGCTAGCGATCGCGCCGAATTGGAGTCTCGGGCACCAGTGACGTAAACGCTCTGTACAATGCCTGTGAAAACCAGACTTGGCAAAGCCCACGCAGGGCATTCCCCTGAGTCCAAATTGCGTATATGTACCCGGCGCGTCGCTTCCAGCACAAAAAGGTGTTCCTGGGCTTTGTCAACTAGAACGCAGAAGCCCCTTCCTCACTGTGCCAGGAAACCCCAAAAATGCAAATCGCGGGTTCCAGCCTTGTTCCTGCTTGGGAAATAGGTCTCAAGGGCTCAGAAGGCATGGAGTTGATTGTTTGTCTCCGTGCCGAGACTCTATAGCTTATGGACGGGGAACGGGCGCCTTCTGGACTGGCATTTCAGGTCAAGGCACTGCGGGTCCGGGCCCGAGTCAAATCGGGGCCTTAATCTTTGGTCCCGAACGGCCCCCGGTCCCTCTTCGGACCTCCTCAAACAAAGCCCGTGACCGACTAGGGGCCAGCAGCCAACACATGATCCCCTGTTAATAATTGTAGGCCCCTGGCCGGCACATGGTCCCTAATAACTTTCAGGTCATCATATCAATGCAAATCGTGGCCCCTGGCCTCGTTCCTGCTTTGACTCAAGTTGACGAAATTGCGCCTTTCGTTAGTGAAGCAGATGAAATCCTTTCGCATGTACTGAAATTTCAAATCAAACATTATCAATGAGCATGATCTCTATGGTCCTGTATCGGGGAATTTTCAAAGAATTCGAAAATGCGCAATTTTCAGTTCAAGATCAGTTTTCGGATTTGGAAACAGATTGAGTTCAACCAGGTCACATTTAAAGGGCTATCCACATCGGGAATAATGATCCCCCAAAGAGCAAAAGCTTTTAACCCCTGGCGCCCCACGTTTGCGAGTTTTGGGCAAAAATATGCAAAATAGTAGAATTTATTTAAACCCCAAGCTACCCCCAGCGGCCTTCCAGCCAGGGCTATAGAATATTAAAAATCGGTCAAAAAACAGCAGATCTTCCCTCAGCCTTGTCTAAAAATCCCAAATGACAGGAGATGAGGTATCAGACAACTAAGCGAATTTTGTTTTTTCGTAAAGATCACTTGCTAAAAGAGTGATTTAACGACAGTAGGTCAACAGTCAACGGTCAACAACAGATGACGGCGGCAAATATCCCGCAACTGACAAGATTTAACTGATACAACCTATAAAATGGCATGAAATGTGCTCCATTTGGTTGTGAATTGTCTATCTAGTTGTTTAAGCGTCAACATGCATCCACGCACATATTAATGCACGTAATATGTTTCATGGGGGGAGGGCATATACCTCTGGAGGTTACTGCGTGGGTATCCCCTGTTTGTGGCATTGCATTATTCATTCACATTAGGTCTTGAATGCACAGTTTGCAGTAGTTTTTTATGACAAACTTGGATGTGTATTACATGTAAAACAAATATTGATCTTCCTTTAAGGAGCGCCAGAACAGCCACAGCTGTATACCATAAAGCGCCAGAATACCCGGCAAGCGCCAGAGCAGTCACAGCTGTATACCATAAACAAAGCACATTAAGACGGCGTACTACATAACACGACGCATTCATCTTGACAAATATGAGGTCAACATAGTCAAAAATGTCGCGTTGTTCGCAACCGCTGGCACTCGCACGTCTGCAGGCAGCAGGTTTCATTGGCTAGAATGGAAGGCGCTGCAAACTCGGCTTAACTAGGACATTCGCTCAAACTCAGTCCGGACACGCGCCACCTGCAACAGTCTGACGGCTGTTGGTCGAGTGGCACGAGCACTGCAATGCACATTTTGCACACGAGCATATCACACACACTAATAATATGTGTTCCACATAAACGCAGAGCATTGAAAGTGGCAGGTTAGGCTGTAAAGAGCTGCTTGTAGGTTTGAAAAAGCCCTCAGTAATGGATAGAAAGTGTATGACCATACATGGATTACAAAAAATGCGTATCATGTTCTGCAATCTAAAACATCAGATATTTTCAATTCAAATTACTGCTTTAAAGTTGTCGAGGGGCTCAGACGTAATAGCATGTTGAACAAACTTTATAGCCAGTGATAGAAGGAGGTACACGTTCTAAAATATCGGCTCTATCTGCAAGGCTGCAATACTGTGTTTTGGAGCCGTTTGTAATATAACCAGAGAAGGTATGACATGATTGATGTATGACCGGATGGCGGCCTCTGAGGTGGAGCCCGTCTTCGAGTTTCTGGATGAATTACCTAACCTTTCCTCGAAAGTTGACCAATCTGTTTCAATCTGTAGAGTGACCAAGGTGAGAAACATCCTGAGGAAATCCTTGTCCAGGGTCAAGACAGCTTGGTGAGCTATGCTGTCATCACTGAAGTCTCGCACGATCATTTTTTCTTCCACGTGCAGTCCTTCAATGGTTTCTTGTTTTACAGTGTTTCTGATATCGTCTTCTGACCGGTTGGACTATATGTCAGTCAGCGTTACAAACGCAGGAACGCTGAGCTGTGTTACGCGCGTTCACACCAAGTCATCTGAGCTGTCGAGTGAAACTGATGTAACAATATGATAAATCAAATATTCGCGGCACCAGATGGGATCAGGAAACTGGCATAACCGACCTATTTCCGTGCCTATAACTTCTATGGATCACGCGCACAGAAGGAGCAGGGATATCATGTACGATGAGGCAACCCAACCTAGCCCCAGCCTTGACGTCTGGGGGTTGTAAACAACACGCTAAGATCCTACAGAGCAAAACCACAATAGTTCGTTTGGGTCTTGTTACAACACCGTGCGACCGCGATTACGGATGTCAGACCGTAGTACAGCCCCTTAGAGGTTTTTGGAGACTTCATGTTGTTTTGTCAGCCCTGTGACTTTAAACTTCTCCTACCAGTAACAAATAAAATTGACAATCTCGTGGTATTAAGTAAATTAGATATATCTTGTAATGTCGCTGACCTAAAACGGGTCAAAATCCGTCCATGGCTATCAGCGAAGGCAATTCGCAGG